AGACATAACCATGTAAGTTTAGAGAATCAATAAGCAAAGAGATTTTGCAGCACCTTTGAGACTAACTGAAAGAAGTTGGTAACATGAGCTTTTGTAGACTTGAGCCTACTTCCTCAGAGGCATGCTTTAATTCTGTTACTCTTTTAATCTTGTTACTGAAGTGGAAACCCAGTTCTGAGAATACACTTGGCACTCAATGTTTATGATTTTTTCCCCCAAATCCATGGATTCAATTATCCACAGCTTGAAAATATTCCAAATGTACCTAGAGTAAACCTTGATTTTGACATTTTATATAAGGGGATAGTATTCTACTCCGCCATTTTATATAATGGGACTTGAGCATCCACAGATTTTGGTATCCACGGGGGGCCTGGAACCAAACCCCAGCAGATACGGAGGGACCACTATATGGAGAACTATTCCCTGTTTCAACTGAGAACAACATTTTAAAGAAATACATTCCCACCAATGTCCTAGCAAGAAGGGGCCCTTCTTAAGAGTAAAAGAAATATTTTTAACAGGGGGAAAACCATAACTTCCCACATTTAGCTCAGTTATCCCAATACTGTTTAACAAATTATAAATTGTGTGTGTGTGTGCTTTCAAGTCACCTGTTGACTTATGGCGACACCATGAATTTCATAGTTTTGTTAGACAAGCAATACTCAGAGGTGGTTTGCCAGTTCCTTCCTCTGAAATATAGCCTACAGGACCTGCTATTCATTGGCAGTCTACCATCCAAGTAGTAAGCAGGGATGACCCTGATTAGCTTCCAAGACTAGGTAAGATCTGGTGCCTTTAGGGTATTTAGAGTAATTATAAATTATAGCAGCTTAAAATCTGCTCTCTGGTGGTACATCAAAATGTCACATGTGATATGTTGCTCATCTTCAATCATCTCTCTTCTTTCTATGTAAGTTTGAATATCAAAATATTTGAATTCTGAATGTTTGTTGAAAGAAGTGAAGGAAAGAGGAGGAACCAAGGAATCTGCTTTTGTACAGATAAAGTAATTTAGAGTGAACACATATTATGAAATATTCCTAGAGATAATGTAGGAAAACACACAGCATCTGCTTTTCATTTTCTTCCAGATAATTTATTGCAGTGGATGGGGGAAGAAATACTCTGTTCTTAAAGCATTAATTCTGAGAGATTCTAATCTCTCTTTTACAATATTCAGAGCTAACACTGTATAAATGCTGCTCTCTGAAGAAGGCACCTGCAGATCCCACCCCTAAAATATTTCTGTGGTGTTTTTCTGACACCAATAGAAGCAAGTGAAAATTTAGAAATTCTGGACAATGAACACTGCACAGAGTCTATGTTAACAGGACAGTTTGTGTGACTTGTCATTGTCATAGCTAGACACTTGAAATGTAGAGTGCATACTAAGGGGAAAGTGAGGGTATATCTTGAGGTTTCAGGCATAACAAAGCCTTGTCAGAAGCTGATTTTTAAGAATATATTTTTATGCCTGCCCACTGATTCTCCTTTACTCTTTGTCCTCTGTCTAACTGGAAGTTTTTTTTTTTAGCAGCAGCAGCACTGGAAGGATGGTCAAGGGAGGCTGGGGAATACAGACTATTTAGTGCTAAGTTGGAGCAGTATGTCTGCAGTAAGGAATACAAATAAATCTTGTGCTAGCAAAGAATGGGATTCTACTGGAGCTGACCCTACTGTAGTAATGTAGACTCAAGTTAGTTGACTAGGACTTATGTCAGACTCAAGTCACTTCAATGACTTGACTTGGTCAAATGTCACACTGACTCGTCTTAAGACTTATATATTTTTAGTAACTGACTTGCTGGTGTCATTCACTTCAAGCAGCAGGGAAAGCACACTCCCAAAGTTGCATTTCCCTCCACTTGCTTTTCCCTCCAAGAAACACACTGCACCTCCTTTTATTCTATTAAAAGTTGGCTCCCATGAGAGAACAGACAAGGTGGAAAAGAAATGAGTTGATGGATTGGAGGTAGAGTTAAAGGAAAGGGTCGAGGAAATTAAAGAAACATATGACTCTTAACTTGAAAGAATCATAAATATAGAAGATAAGTTGTTTCTTCTTTTACATATAAACTTTCACTTTCATCCTACCACTTTTTAAAATCTATTAATGAATATAGATAATATATATAGATAGGAAATTATGATCAATGTTTTATTTTATGTTTGTATGCTTGTGTGTATGTATGTATTGTTATGTAGTTGGTTTTACTTGAATAAAATGTTTATTAAAAAATAAAATTAAAAAAAAAAGTTGTCTCCCAGACTTGAGACTCAACTTGAAAGTATTTTGCAAGGACTTAAGCTTTGAATTTAGAGACTAGAGACTTGACTTGAGACTTGGACTAAAAGACTTGAATACATCACTGCCCTACTGTAGTTTTGTATGCCTGCCTATAGCAGGCAAGATGAACAGAATACCTCCAGAAGCCCTTGCCAAGCATGTACAAACAGAAAAACAGAGAGATTAGATTTTCCCTCCAGGTACTCACATGTGGTTTTTTTTAAAGCATAGATCCAGTGGTTTCACTAGGAGGTGTGGGAGGTGTGTATGGCACTGGCTGAAACCATAAGGCATGGAGGAACACATGGTTGGTCGCTGACCAACCATCCCAAGACCCTCCTGGCTGCCCTCTTTTGCTAGGCAAGGCACCTCTGCCACCTTCCTACTGTGGCTTCTGGTGGGAGTGGAGTGGTGCTGATGCCTGGCAACCCCTTCTGGGTCTGGCAGGGCTGCAGAGCAGGGGGAAAGTGAGGTGGCAGTGGCAATGGTAGTGGCCACGGACTCCTCCCTTTCCTTAGAAGGAAAGAAGTCCATGCCCACCTCTGCCACCATTATAGGGTGACCATACGTTTCAACCTTCTGTCCAGGAGGAATTAAAAATGCCCTCCATTTTGGACATAACTAGAGACGTTATTACATGGGGAGTTGCAGGGAGAAAGTGGAAATAAACCGGACGAGCGGAAGACTTTAATTTGCGGGATTTGTTCCGTTCTGCCTCGTCTGATAACTAAATTCAAATTTAAAAGGGGGTTAATTCGAACAAAAACCTGATCTTTTCAAATCCTCAAAAATACCAAAAATGAAAAGATCAGGTTTGCGTTCGAATTAACCCCCTTTTACATTCGAATTTAGTTATCAGATGAGGCGGAATGGGACAAATCCTGTAAATTAAAGACTTCCGCTCGTGCCCGTTTATTTCCACTTTCTCCCTGCGACTCCATGTGTGATAACATCCTATGAAGCATGAATTTACATTTATATGAGTGTTTTTACCTTTTCTTCAGTAATGTCCTCCATTTTTCTTGAATGTCCTATATCTGGCGGTGCCTTGTCCTCTTTTGCAATTAAGACATTTGCTCACCATGCACCATTATTAATTTTTTGGCTCTGTTGAGGCAACAAATCTTAAAATCCACTCTTATCTATTCATCATGATAGTCCTGAGCAAAAAATGGAGGAATAAGTATCCCATTGGAAAATAAAGTAGAATGATCACTGCAATGTGACCAAGATCAACTAGTGGAAAGATCACTAGATTTTAACTCAGTGTGCACCACTACTGTTCTTTCCTGTTCTGTCTGTAAGGTGCCAAGGAAGCTAACAGTCGTTTAATAATAGTAATATATATATTTTTAAAAAAAACAAAGAAACAAAGCCAAAATGTAGCACTTCAGAGAGCAATACAATAGACATGATTGCTGACTGCTACCTACCTGTACTTACATCGGTGGTCTGCACCTGCTTAGATGAAGGACTAGCCAAATAGCATTTGCATACTGGTGACAGAAGCACTCCTTGCTGCCTTCTCTTTTCACAATCCCACACTTCTGTTGCATTCTGGCAAAGATGCAAAATCTACTCAGGACTTAATTACTCTCAACAGTTGCCAGCTAACTTTTTTTGCTGATTGCAGCAGCACTCAAGGAATGTATTCCAGCTGGGCTCTGAGCTCAATTGCCACTCATTACTTGTGAGTCAATAGGAATTTAAAGGGGCACAACTGTGTCTTGAAGACTGGCATCATCCTCCCAGTGGCACCAGATAATCTAAAGGTGAAACTTCTGCCTTTTTTGGCTTGGATCATACACTTTAGCATTTGGAAAGGCAACAGAAATGTGGTTGGAAGAACTGACAGCTCCACAGACAGAGCCAGGTGTTGCCTCTTCCTCTCAGTAATCTGGAGTCCTTTCTCATTACACAATAATAACATTATGATTCCAATTTAATGGCCATGACAACATCCTATAGAAATCGGGGGTTTGTAGTTAGGTGGGGCACCAGACCCCTCTTGTTGAGAATTCCAAATGCTGCTGTTGTCTGCCTTCAAGGTGACTTTTAGACCTATGTGTTCAGAAGTCTGCATTGCTTTTCTTTATGGACTTTATCACAGGAGGCTTGAAAAGTGAATTAGAGGAGGATATTAGCATTTGTGGCCATACCTTATCACACGATGCTGTGTTTGTCCAGTAGATGATCTGTGGTCCATTCGTTGCTGACGTACTCCTCCTAGTTCATGGGCAAAATCCATCAATGGATTGATGCACATGTGATAAGTTCCTCCCAAAACAGTCTTGATATGCAGGCAGTCACATGGCGTGAGTGGATGTGATTCTGATCCTTTCTCTGCTCCCCCTTGCTATTCACAAGCCTTTCTTTCTTTTTTTTTTTTGTTTCTTTACTCTACTTTGTTATTGTTATTTAATAGATTCCCATGATCACACAATTGTACTAAAAGTAAAAATAAATACAGGCTGAAAGGCATGTTGGTAATGGGGTAAGGAAGGGAGGTGAGGCTGTGGAATTCATCATGAAGACAGAGGTGGGGACAAAAGCAGCACTATGGCGATTTGGAAGGGCTGTACAATAATGACATACCACCGGTATATTTGCATTTTTGAGACCAATTGTGGTGCCTTATGAGCCTGATGGGATAAAGTCCTAAGGCTGAGAGAGTGTGACTTACAAAAGGTCACCCAGAGGTTTTCCATGGCTGAGCAGGGATTTGAACCCTAGTCCCTTGGAGTCCTATTCCAACACTCAAACCACTACACCATGCTGGCTCTTACAAGAGCCACCTATACCTGCAGTTTCCCCTTCCTAAACTGTAAACCCCAGGATTCCATATGATGGAGCCAGGGCAATTAAAATGGAGGCATAACACTGTTAACTATTTCATGTGAAAGGACTTCTAAAGAATGCTGGAAGGCCTGTATAACCCCTTAGACAGGAATCTACTGATTCATAAAGAAACCCTTTACCTTGGAAACCCTTTGCCTTCAATGACAGTGTTTGGGGGGGAAATCTTTTTGTTTGGCAGTTCCCAGAATTCCACAGCCAGAGGATACTGGGAGCAGATTCTTGTGGTACTCATGCTTAAGTTCCCTTGCAAAAGTGGTTGGATATTTTTGTCCAATGTGTAACAACCACGTTCAAGAATTGGCCATTGCACATGGATGTTCATTATACATGGATGTGCATATACATTTGGTTGTGCATTCAACTGCAGACTTAATGTATTGGTTCAATTACACAATGTTTCCAGTCAACACAAAGATTGTGCAGCACAGTTATTGCATAACTCTGTGTACAGAGCTTTATAATACATAACTCTGAACTCTGCTTGAGAATGGTAAACCAAAACAGTAACTTTTCCAAGCCTGGAAACTGACATCAGCAGCCTACTGCTGGCAAGTAACTGATGGAAATTTGAAATTATAGACATAAATTCAGAGTGAAAAGCAGAAAATTTGCAAATGGTAAAACAGGTTGCTGTTCATTAAAGGAATCATTTTCCTCTCTTTGTCTCTTGCATGACAGAATTAGCACAGTGCATCATATGTTTGATTGAGAAGAGTGCATTTCTGTTACAGCAACATAAATTAAGTGGGCAGTCGATTGCAAAAATAATTGCTGGACCGTTATCCTCCAAAGACTATTTGTTTTATTTTGAATTTGAAGGGGAAAGACCTCTTGAGTGCTTAAGAATGAGTGGCTCCACCAGAAAACTGAATTAAGTTGTTCCTAATGTAGCTGCATTTGCTAGCAAGGTGCTACTCATTGAATGTCAAGTCTTGATCACCTGATACTTAGAAATAAACCCAGAACATTGCACATTTTGCAGTTTGATGTTGTTTCCTGCCTTTAAGTGGTATTTAGAATTCTTAGTCAGAGAGCTCTGCTGCCTCACTAAACTACAAATCCCAGAATCCCATAGGATGCAGCCATAGCAGTTAAAGTGGTATCACTATGACTGCGTGGTGTGAAAAGACCTTTGTAATCAAAAAAGCTTTTCAGTGTCTACTCTGCATTGCCCTAAGAAAAGTATTCCTTTTTGATCAGACCTCACCTGGAATACTATGTATAGTTTTGGGCACTACAGTTCAAGACAGATATTGACAAGCTGGAATGTGCCCAGAGGAGGATGATCAAAATGGGGAAAGGTCTGGAAAATATGCCCTATGAGGAGATGCTTAGGGAGCTGGGTATTTTTAGCCTGGGGAAGAGGTGACATGATAGCCATGTTTCTATATTTGAAGTGATGTTATATTGAGGATGGAGCAAGCTTGTTTGTTGCAGCTTTAGATAATAGGACATAATGGTTTGAAATTACAGGGAAAGAGATTTCACCTCTACATTAGGAAGAACTTTCTGACAGTAAGAGCTGTCCAACAGTGGAATATGCTGCCTTGGAGTATAGTGGAGTCTCCTTCTTTGGAGGTTTTTAAACAGAGGCTGGATGACCATCTGTCAGGAGTGCTTTGATTGTGTTGTCCTGCATAGCAAGGGGTTGGACTGGATGCCCCTTGGGGTCTCTTCCAACTCTATGATTCTATGATTGTATGAAATACAGACACTGGACTCTTCAACTTTTTTTTTGTTTGTTTGTTTGGCCATGATAGCAGAGCCTGCAGTGGACTATCAGTTGAGAGGATAAGCTCAACTCCTCTGTTAACTTATTAACCAGGTCCAAGGACCATTGCATGAGTTCAATGGAAACCAGGAATGGACTGAGGATATCAGCTCCATGTGGAAAGATATATTCTAGGTCCCAAATTTACTCACTGGCAAACAAGGAAGAAGTAAAGCTTAAAAGATGAAGTCTACCTATCCTATAAGCTGCCCAAGCTACCAGATCTACCAGAAATGTTAGTCCTGTTCATTGTCAGGGTTTTTTTTCATACATAACATGTGCAGTTCCATAAGAAGATTGGTACTATTCCAAATTCAAGTCATGTAAAGCTATTTTATGTTGGGCTTATAATGTTTTAATTTTTTATGGTTTGAATTTGTAGTTTTAATCTTTATTTGATTTAATACTGTTTTAAGGGGGGGAGAGATTGTGATGTGGGATATATTGTATGGTTTTTATTGTTGTAAGCCGCCCTGATTGGGTTCCCAAAAGGCGGGATATAAATAAAATTTTATTATTTATTATTATTATGGTGTAAATTTCAGGCACAAGGAAATCCTGATCAAGTATAGCCATTTCTCCTTCATGTACCAAAAATATTCCCAGAAGACTTCACAGAAATAAGTGGACTTTATTTCCACTTACAGAAATATATTTTAAGTGCATTCTTAAATATTGTCTTTGTGCACTCTTAAGTTTCTTCACTCTCTTTCTCTCTCCTCTTTTCCCCAGGATTTTTCTTAACACATTTTTCACTCCACATGCAGTTTTGCTGGTATTTATGATGACTCTTGTGTTCTGCATTAGTGTTGTCAAATCCCAGATTCTGAGGGTTTCCTCCCGCTGTGTGTACACTTTTGAATGTCACTGAATGCAATGCTAAGAAACAAAGCAAGTACACTCAAACAAGGCAAATGAATAAGGGGTTTGGAAGTGAGCCTTTACATAGGAAAATTGGGCCCACATACTGAAAAATTCCTGTGGATATACTTGGCTGAAAAGATGAGTTGTTTGTGGGTGTGCAATCTCACAAGCACTTCTTGTGTTTCTGTTGCAACTGAATTTCATTTCAATCTTTGTGTTAAAATATTAAAATGAAATTGCAGACCCCAAATGAACAATTCATCATCATTACAGTCAAGTGTGAGACTACACACACGTGTGTATATATACACATACACACATACACAGTGTTAAATGGAGTTAGAAATATAGGAAGCTGCTTTATACTGATTTAGACCATTGGACTAGAACTCTAGGGTGATCAGGCTTCAAATCCTCATTCAGCCACAGACAGCCACTGTTACCTTATATAAATTGCACTCTCTCAGGTTTAGAGGAAAGTTATGGCAACCTCCTCTGCATAAAGCTTGCCAATAAAACATTAGGCTGTTCACAGGATCATAGACTCATAGCATTGGAAGAGACCACAAGGGCCATCCAGTCCAACCCCCTGCCATGCAAGAACTCAAAATCAAAGCATCCCCGACAGATGACCATCCAGCCTTTCTTTAAAAACCTCTAAAGAGGGAGACTCCACCACTCTCTGAGGGAGTGTGTTCCACTGCTCTCACTGTCAGGAAGTTCCTCCTAATGTTAAGGTAGAATCTCTTTTCCTGCAGCTTGCATCCATTGTTCCGGGTCCTAGTCTTGATCCTTCCTCAATATGACATCCCTTCAAATCTTTAAACACAGCTATCATATCACCTCTCAACCTTCTCTTCTCCAGGCTAAACATCTCCAGCTCCCTAAGTCGTTCCTCATAGGGTTTGGTTTCAGACCCTTCACCATTTTAGTTGCCCTCCTCTGGACACTCTTTAGTTTCTCAACATCCTTTTTGAATTGTGGTGCCCAGAACTGGACACAGTATTCCAGGTGGGGCATGACCAAAGCAGAATACAGTGGCACTATAACTTCCCTTGATCTAGATACTATACCTCTATTAATCAGCCAAAAATTGCATTGGCTTTTTTAGCTGTGGCATTACACTGTTGACTCATGTTCAACTTGTGGTCTACTAGGACTCCTAGATCCCTTTCACACGTAGTCTCGTTAAGCCAGGTGTCCTCCATCTTATATCTATACATTTCATTTTTTTGCCCTAAGTGCAGTACCTTATATTTCTTTGTGTTGAAAGTCATTTTGTTAGCTTTGGCCCAGCTTTCTAATCTATTAAGGTCATTTTGGATTTTCATCCTGTCCTCTGTGGTATTTGCTATTCCTCCTAATCTGGTGTCATCTGCAAATTTCAGAAGCATGCCCCCTATTCCTTCATCCAAATGGTTGATAAAGATGTTGAAGAGCACTGGGCCCAGGACAGAACCCTGTGGCACCCCATTGGTCACTTCTCTCCAGGATGAAGAGGAACCATTGGTGTTGTATTGATGTTTATTGCCATCACTTTAACTTCAACTTATGGCAGCCTTATGAATGAGAGATGTCCAAGGCACCATGTCATCAACAATCCTGCTCAGATCTTGCAAACTCAGAGACATGACTTTCTAGATTGAGTCTAATCACCTGTAATACGGTCTCTCTTTTCTTATTGCTTTCCAGGTTACCAACCATGATTAGCCTTGTATTCTCATGATATAACTATGATAGTTTCCATTTAGTCCAGGGGTAGGCAACCTTTTAAGGGCCAAGGGACTTCAGCTCCCAGAAGCCTCAGCCATGTTGGTTAATAGTCCCATGTTGGCCAATAGCTCCTGGGATTCTGGGAGCTGAAGTCCCTCGGCCCTTAAAGGGGAAAGGTTGCCTACCCCTGATTTAGTCATTAGTTAAAACCTTAGGACAGGGTCACCATAAGTCAGCATAACAACAACACCAATAGTGATTTGCAGCATCTCTTCGGGTTTTCAAGAAGGATTTTTTCCCGAATCTCACTTGGAGGTGCAAAGAGTTGAATCCAGGGCCTTCTGTATACAAAATATATGCTCTGGCCTGAACCTAAAAACCTCTTTTAACAGTGATGACTTAATAAATTAGCTATTGATCAGCACAGATAGCAGAGCTAAACACATTTTTCTTGCACAGAAAACGAGCCTTTCTGGATCAGCACAAAAGTCCATCAAAAGTTCAGTGTTCCATTTCTAGCTCCCAGCCAACAAGCCAGTTGGAAGCATGCCCTAGCCATGTTTTGCTAGATAC